GTGTTGATTGTAGTGGGTGTGACTCAGTGTTAATGACTGTGTTGATTGTAGTGGGTGTGACTCAGTGTTAATGACTGTGTTGATTGTAGTGGGTGTGACTCAGTGTTAATGACTGTGTTGATTGTAGTGGGTGTGACTCAGTGTTAATGACTGATCACTGTAATAGGAGTGACTCAGTGTTAATGACTGTGTTGATTGTAGTGGGTGTGACTCAGTGTTAATGACTGTGTTGATTGTAGTGGGTGTGACTCAGTGTTAATGACTGTGTTGATTGTAGTGGGTGTGACTCAGTGTTAATGACTGTGTTGATTGTAGTGGGTGTGACTCAGTGTTAAATGACTGTGTTGATTGTAGTGGGTGGTGACTCAGTGTTAATGACTGTGTTGATTGTAGTGGGTGTGACTCAGTGTTAATGACTGTGTTGATTGTAGTGGGTGTGACTCAGTGTTAATGACTGTGTTGATTGTAGTGGGTGTGACTCAGTGTTAATGACTGTGTTGATTGTAGTGGGTGTGACTCAGTGTTAATGACTGTGTTGATTGTAGTGGGTGTGACTCAGTGTTAATGACTGTGTTGATTGTAGTGGGTGTGACTCAGTGTTAATGACTGTGTTGATTGTAGTGGGTGTGACTCAGTGTTAATGACTGTGTTGATTGTAGTGGGTGTGACTCAGTGTTAATGACTGTGTTGATTGTAGTGGGTGTGACTCAGTGTTAATGACTGTGTTGATTGTAGTGGGTGTGACTCAGTGTTAATGACTGTGTTGATTGTAGTGGGTGTGACTCAGTGTTAATGACTGTGTTGATTGTAGTGGGTGTGACTCAGTGTTAATGACTGTGTTGATTGTAGTGGGTGTGACTTGTATGACTGTTGATTGTAGTGGGTGTGACATCAGTGTAATGACTGTGTTGATTGTAGTGGGTGTGACTCAGTGTTAATGACTGTGTTGATTGTAGTGGGTGTGACTCAGTGTTAATGACTGTGTTGATTGTAGTGGGTGTGACTCAGTGTTAATTACTGTGTTGATTGTAGTGGGTGTGACTCGGTGTTAATGACTGTGTTGATTGTAGTGGGTGTGACTCGGTGTTAATGACTGTGTTGACTGTAGTGGGTGTGACTCAGTGTTAATGACTGTGTTGATTGTAGTGGGTGTGACTCCATGTTAATGTCTGTGTTGATTGTAGTGGGTGTGACTCAGTGTTAATGATTGTGTTGATTGTAGTGGGTGTGACTCAGTGTTAATGACTGTGTTGATTGTAGTGGGTGTGACTCAGTGTTAATGACTGTGTTGATTGTAGTGGGTGTGACTCAGTGTTAATGACTGTGTTGATTGTAGTGGGTGTGACTCAGTGTTAATGATTGTGTTGATTGTAGTGGGTGTGACTCAGTGTTAATGACTGTGTTGATTGTAGTGGGTGTGACTCAGTGTTAATGACTGTGTTGATTGTAGTGGGTGTGACTCAGTGTTAATGACTGTGTTGATTGTAGTGGGTGTGACTCAGTGTTAATGACTGTGTTGATTGTAGTGGGTGTGACTCAGTGTTAATGACTGTGTTGATTGTAGTGGGTGTGACTCAGTGTTAATGACTGTGTTGATTGTAGTGGGTGTGACTCAGTGTTAATGTCTGTGACTCCCAACAGCCCGACAGGCAGAACACATGACCCTGCAGCAGATGAAACACCCCTTCACAGGGCTCCAACATGTTCTCCATTAGAATGCACTTCACTGTTTTGACCAAATCATGGATGTTTTGAACCTTTGGAGTGAGGTGACCATGTGATAAATGTAACTTGCACAGCCAAGTCAAAGGGTTGTAAAATGCCACTAAATGGTCCCGATCTGGAGCCCTGCCCCTTAACGCCCTCTTGCTGGAGAATAAGTAGCATCATCAGTACTGCCCTACCAAGCAAAAAGGCAGGAACTGAGTAAAAATGCCTTTTATTTACCTTGGTTTCACAGTAACCTTATGCAGTTACTGCTAACATGACCCCCATTTTCTCCACACCTCAATACAATAGAGGCAGGATACTTGTCCACATGGTTAAGCAGGTATTTTAATGTAGCATAAATGACATTAACTACCGTATTTTCCGCACTATAAGGCGCACTGGACTATAAGCCGCAGGTGTTTTAATGTTTATTTACCATATGTAAGGGTTCGTGCACAGAGGGGATTGTCGGGAAAGAGATGGCTGCTTGAAAACGTCCTTTGCACAAACTGTCTCGCTCTCGTAATGTCTCTCGTTCTGTCTCTCGTTCTGTCTCTCGTTCTGTCTCTCGTACCACTCTCGGTTCCACTTTTACTTTTGCGCGCTACCTGTCTCACTCTTTTCCAGCCCGCCGCTTAAAGGTGGGGGGCGCGGACCGGTCATAGAGCCCATAGAGTTAAAGTTGGTGGACTGTAACCTGTAAAATCCATAGATTTAGGAGGTCTTCTAGTGGCCGTTAGCTGTAAAAATCCATAGATTAGCCGCACCTGTTATATAAGCCGCAGGGTCGAAAAATGGGAAAAAAGGCGCGGCTTATAGTCCGAAAATTACGGTAATTTTCGACCAAATGAGCAGCTACTGCCTTGTTGCTTGGTAGGGCAGAGTAGTGCTCTGATAGGTCGTAGCTAACCAGCTAGCATTAGCAATCTGTTATTAGCCTACCTGAGCAGGTATATATATATATATATATATATATAATATACTACCAGTCAAAGGTTTGGACACACCTATTCATTCAAGGGTTTTTCTTTATTTTTAGTATTTTTTACATTGTATAATAATAGTGAAGACATCAAAACTATGAAATAACACATGGAATCATGTAGTAACCAAAAAAGTGTTAAACAAATCAAGATGTATTTTATATTTGAGATTCTTCAAATAGCCACCCTTTGCCTAGATAACAGCTTTGCACACTATATTTACTGGGATGATGTGCTTTCAGATGTCTCTTGAAGTCGCTGGTGTTTTTTCCTGTCAACTTGTGGGCGCAAACACTGTCTTTTCACTTAGAAAAGTAGTTTGAATCAACATGATAAGTAAAGTGGCTCTGAACTTCACTCCTTTTTCTCCCGGGAGCTTTTACCAGCCGTAGGAGTAGCCATGGTGTGTGCCTGATTTGCATCAATCATTTGTTGTCCGCCAGATTGCAAATAACAGATTTCAGTCAGAGATAATGTAGTCTCGTTTTAGTTAACCCAAATGAAAAATCATTTTCGTTTAGTTCTATTTTCTTCTGGGTCTATTTAGTCAGTTATAGTCTCGTCAATTGCCACTGAAAAATAGGTGTTTTGAAGAATATCGTCACTATTTTAGTTGGTGAAATGAACACTGGTGTGGCGTGTGAGAGAGAAAATGAGGGAGTGAGTGAGCTCTTGCCGGTAAGTGAGTGAGTCATCGCTGACTGAAGAGTGTTCCCCAACTTTCTCTGTGAAAGTGTGTCTCACTGCGTCTCAACTCAAGCCCTAATGTGTGCAGATGACTCTCATATGGGCCTGTATTCATGTCTCACACTCACAAAGGGAGCACCATGAGTCACACTATGGGGTAGAATAGGGCTTGTGTGTTACTGAGCAACAATATGGGGTAGAATAGGGCTTGTGTGTTACTGAGCAACAATATGGGGTAGAATAGGGCTTGTGTGTTACTGAGCAACAATATGGGGTAGAATAGGGCTTGGTGTGTTACTGAGCAACAATATGGGGAGAATAGGGCTTGTGTGTTACTGAGGCAACAATATGGGGGTAGAAATAGGGCTTGTGTGTTACTGATCAACAATATGGGGTAGAATAGGGCTTGTGTGTTACTGAGCAACAATATGGGGTAGAATAGGGCTTGTGTGTTACTGAGCAACAATATGGGGTAGAATAGGGCTTGTGTGTTACTGAGCAACAATATGGGGTAGAATAGGGCTTGTGTGTTACTGAGCAACAATATGGGGTAGAATAGGGCTTGTGTGTTACTGAGCAACAATATGGGGTAGAATAGGGCTTGTGTGTTACTGAGCAACAATATGGGGTAGAATAGGGCTTGTGTGTTACTGAGCAACAATATGGGGTAGAATAGGGCTTGTGTGTTACTGAGCAACAATATGGGGTAGAATGGGGCTTGTGTGTTACTGAGCAACAATATGGGGTAGAATAGGGCTTGTGTGTTACTGAGCAACAATATGGACCATTGATCAGAGAGGGTGATGCTACATCTCTATATTGATTTATGATGGAGGTATAGGTGCTATGTGAAACTAACCTTGGTTTATCTCTTCCCCCTCTTCCCCTCTCTCCTCCCCTCTTCTCTCTCCTCTTCTCTCTCCTCCTCTTCTCTCTCCTCCTCTTCTCTCTCCTCCTCTTCTCTCTCCTCCTCTTCTCTCTCCTCCTCTTCTCTCTCTCCCCCTCTTCTCTCTCCTCCCTTCTCTCTCCCCCCCTTCTCTCTCCTCCCCTTCTCTCTCCTCCCCTTCTCTCCTCCTCCCCTTCTCTCTCCTCCTCTTCTCTCTCCTTCTCTTCTTCTCCTCTTCTCTCTCCTCCTCTTCTCTCTCCTCCTCTTCTCTCTCCTCCTCTCTCTCTCCTCCTCTTCTCTCTCCTCCTCTTCTCTCTCCTCCTCTTCTCTCTCCTCCTCTTCTCTCTCCTCCTCTACTCTCTCCTCCCCTCCTCTCTCCTCCCCTCCTCTCTCCTCCTCCCCTTCTCTCCCCCCCCTCCCCTCTCTCCCCCTCTTCTCTCTTCTCTCCTCCATCTCTTCTCTCTTCCTCCCTTCTCTCTCCTCCCCTTCTCTCTCCTCTCCCCCTTCTCTCTCCTCCCTCTCCCTCCTCTTCTCTCCCCTCCCCTCTCTCTTCCCCTTCGCTCCTCTCCTCTCTCTTCTCTCTCCCCCCTTCTCTCCCCTCCCCTTCTTCCCTCTTCTCTCTTTCTCCCCTCTCTCTCCCTCCTTCCTCCTCCTCCTCTTCTCCTCCCCTCCTCTGCTCCTCTCTCTCCGCCCCTTCTCTCTCATCCCTTCGCGCCCCATACCCCCAAACAGACGTGGAGGACAGCCCCAGTCCAAAGCGTCAGAGGCTATCCGGCCAATCAGTGCTGGATCTCTCCACTGTGGCCCCACCCTCAACCCCCTCTCCACCAATGAGGCCATGGGAGCTGCCCCCCAGTCGCAGACCTCCCCCTAACCCCCACTACCACCAGGAGCGCTGCCATACACCTGCCAGACACAGACACAGGTAAGAGACTGTTACCTCACCTGGTACTGTGCTTTTAGCTTGATACTTTGCTTGGTTCATTTTACAGTCAGTCAGTTACTCAGTCAGTTAGGTAGCTATTCAGTTTGGAAGATTTCTCAGTAGTCAATATTGACCAGTAAGAGCTAACATGATGATGATGATTGTAACTATGATGATGGTATATTCATAGTTAATGATTTGATTATAGTTATCAGAATGATGAAGACTTAACTCCTCCCCCTCTCCTTTCCTCCAGTCCTCCAGCGCGTCGCCAGCGTGGCCGTCTCTCCCGTCCCCCACGTCACCTCCCCCCTCCTCCCCACCACCCTTCCCCTCCTCCCCCCTCCATCCGACTAGACCCCCAGGACCAAAACTACCGCCACCACCACCCTCACCCCCACCAGAGCTACCCTCACCCTCCTCCTCCCCCCTACGGCCAGCCCCCAGCCCCTGCTAGAGGGGGGGTGGAGGAGCCCCGAGCGTTCCACCCCCCCACCCTATCTCCACGGTTACTGCACCCTGCTGTCCATCATTCTCATCAAGCAGCTCACCACCAGGCACAGCAGCAAGGAACCATGGTTATGGACCTACATGAACAGGTTAGTCCCAGTCTCCTATATATTAACTCTCTCTCTCTCCAACAGGCTTCAGTCCCAGTCTCCTATATATTAACTCTCTCTCTCTCCAACAGGCTTCAGTCCCAGTCTCCTATATATTAACTCTCTCTCTCCAACAGGCTTCAGTCCCAGTCTCCTATATATTAACTCTCTCTCTCTCCAACAGGCTTCAGTCCCAGTCTCCTATATATTAACTCTCTCTCTCTCCAACAGGCTTCAGTCCCAGTCTCCTATATATTAACTCTCTCCAACAGGTCAGTCCCAGTCTCCTATATATTAACTCTCTCTCTCTCTCTCCAAAGGCTTCAGTCCCATCTCCTATATATACTCTCTCTCTCTCCAACAGGATTCAGTCCCAGTCTCCTATATATTAACTCTCTCTCTCTCTGCTCCAACAGGCTTCAGTCCCAGTCTCCTATATATTACCTCTCTCTCTCCAACAGCTTCAGTCCCAGTCTCCTTATATTAACTCTCTCATCTCTCCAACAGGCTTCCAGTCCCAGTCTCTATATATTAACTCTCCTCTCTCTCCAACGGCTTGTCCAGTTCCCAGTTCTCCTATATATTAAACTCTCTCTCTCTCCAACAGGCTTCAGTCCCAGTCTCCTATATATTAACTCTCTCTCTCTCTTCCAACAGGCTTCAGTCCCAGTCTCCTATATATTAACTCTCTCTCTCTCCAACAGGCTTCAGTCCCAGTCTCCTATATATTAACTCTCTCTCTCTCTCCAACAGGCTTCAGTCCCAGTCTCCTATATATTAACTCTCTCTCTCTCCAACAGGCTCAGTCCCAGTCTCCTATATATTAATCTCTCTCTCTCTCTCTCCAACAGGCTTCAGTCCCAGTCTCCTATATATTAACTCTCTCTCTCTCTCCAACAGGCTTCAGTCCCAGTCTCCTATATATTAACTCTCTCTCTCTCCAACAGGCTTCAGTCCCAGTCTCCTATATATTAACTCTCTCTCTCTCCAACAGGCTTCAGTCCCAGTCTCCTATATATTAACTATCTCTCTGTCCAACAGGCTTCAGTCCCAGTCTCCTATATATTAACTCTCTCTCTCTCTGTCCAACAGGCTTCAGTCCCAGTTTCCTATATATTAACTCTCTCTCTCTCTCTCCAACAGGCTTCAGTCCCAGTCTCCTATATATTAACTCTCTCTCTCTCCAACAGGCTTCAGTCCCAGTCTCCTATATATTAACTCTCTCTCTCTCCAACAGGCTTCAGTCCCAGTCTCCTATATATTAACTCTCTCTCTTCTCTCCAACAGGCTTCAGTCCCAGTCTCCTATATATTAACTCTCTCTCTCTCCAACAGGCTTCAGTCCCAGTCCTCCTATATATTAACTCTCTCTCTCTCCAACAGGCTTCAGTCCCAGTCTCCTAATATTAACTCTCTCTCTCTCCAACAGGCTTCAGTCCCCAGTCTCCTATATATTAACTCTCTCTCTCTCCAACAGGCTTCAGTCCCAGTCTCCTATATATTAACTCTCTCTCTCTCCAACAGGCTTCAGTCCCAGTCTCCTATATATTAACTCTCTCTCTCTCTCCAACAGGATTCAGTCCCAGTCTCCTATACAGTGGGGAAAAAAAGTATTTAGTCAGCCACCAATTGTGCAAGTTCTCCCACTTAAAAAGATGAGAGAGGCCTGTAATTTTCATCATAGGTACACGTCAACTATGACAGACAAAATTAGAAAAGAAAATCCAGAAAATCACATTGTAGGATTTGTAATGAATTTATTTGCAAATTATGGTGGAAAATAAGTATTTGGTCAATAACAAAAGTTTCTCAATACTTTGTTATATACCCTTTGTTGGCAATGACACAGGTCAAACGTTTTCTGTAAGTCTTCACAAGGTTTTCACACACTGTTGCTGGTATTTTGGCCCATTCCTCCATGCAGATCTCCTCTAGAGCAGTGATGTTTTGGGGTTGTCGCTGGGCAACACGGACTTTCAACTCCCTCCAAAGATTTTCTATGGGGTTGAGATCTGGAGACTGGCCAGGCCACTCCAGGACCTTGAAATGCTTCTTACGAAGCCACTCCTTCGTTGCCCGGGCGGTGTGTTTTGAATCATTGTCATGCTGAAAGACCCAGCCACGTTTCATCTTCAATGCCCTTGCTGATGGAAGGAGGTTTTCACTCAAAATCTCACGATACATGGCCCCATTCATTCTTTCCTTTACACGGATCAGTCGTCCTGGTCCCTTTGCAGAAAAACAGCCCCAAAGCATGATGTTTCCACCCCCATGCTTCACAGTAGGTATGGTGTTCTTTGGATGCAACTCAGCATTCTTTGTCCTCCAAACACGACGAGTTGAGTTTTTACCAAAAAGTTCTATTTTGGTTTCATCTGACCATATGACATTCTCCCAATCCTCTTCTGGATCATCCAAATGCACTCTAGCAAACTTCAGGCGGGCCTGGACATGTACTGGCTTAAGCAGGGGGACACGTCTGGCACTGCAGGATTTGAGTCCCTGGCGGCATAGTGTGTTACTGATGGTAGGCTTTGTTACTTTGGTCCCAGCTCTCTGCAGGTCATTCACTAGGTCCCCCCGTGTGGTTCTGGGATTTTTGCTCACCGTTCTTGTGATCATTTTGACCCCACGGGGTGAGACTTGCGTGGAGCCCCAGATCGAGGGAGATTATCAGTGGTCTTGTATGTCTTCCATTTCCTAATAATTGCTCCCACAGTTGATTTCTTCAAACCAAGCTGCTTACCTATTGCAGATTCAATCTTCCCAGCCTGGTGCAGGTCTATAATTTTGTTTCTGGTGTCCTTTGACAGCTCTTTGGTCTTGGCCATAGTGGAGTTTGGAGTGTGACTGTTTGAGGTTGTGGACAGGTGTCTTTTATACTGATAACAAGTTCAAACAGGTTGCCATTAATACAGGTAACGAGTGGAGGACAGAGGAGCCTCTTTAAGAAGAAGTTACAGTTCTGTGAGAGCCAGAAATCTTGCTTGTTTGTAGGTGACCAAATACTTATTTTCCACCATAATTTGCAAATAAATTCATAAAAAATCCTACAATGTGATTTTCTGGATTTTTTTTCTCAATTTGTCTGTCATAGTTGACGTGTACCTATGATGAAAATTACAGGCCTCTCTCATCTTTTTAAGTGGGAGAACTTGCACAATTGGTGGCTGACTAAATACTTTTTTCCCCACTGTATATTAACTCTCTCTCTCTCCAACAGGCTTCAGTCCCAGTCTCCTATATATTAACTCTATCTCTCCCCAACAGGCTTCAGTCCCAGTCTCCTATATATTAACTCTCTCTCTCTCCAACAGGCTTCAGTCCCAGTCTCCTATATATTAACTCTCTCTCTCTCTCCAACAGGCTTCAGTCCCAGTCTCCTATATATTAACACTCTCTCTCTCCAACAGGCTTCAGTCCCAGTCTCCTATACGGTGACTGCTGTCCCTCCTCATCGTGGTCTAGTTACTCCTCTGTATACAGGACAGCACCTCCCTCCTGTCTGCTCCTCTCAACAACAGATCCCAGCCTGCAGTGTGGTCTTCAGTACAGGACAACACTACCACCCTGTGAGTAGAGGGAGGGAGGGAGGGAGTATTGGGGTGGGTGTGTGTTTGCAGTGTGGTCTTCAGTACAGGACAACACTACCACCCTGTGAGTAGAGGGAGGGAGGGAGGGAGGGAGTATAGGGGGGGGGGGGGGTGTGTGGCAGTGTGGTCTTCAGTACAGGACAACACTACCACCCTGTGAGTAGAGTGGAGGGAGGAGGGAGGGAGTATTGGGGGTGGATGGTGTGTTTGCAGTGTGGTCTTCAGTACCGGACAACACTACCACCCTGTGAGTAGAGGGAGGGAGGGAGGGAGGGAGGGAGGGAGTATTGGGGGGGGGGGGTGTTTTGCAGTGTGGTCTTCAGTACCGGACAACACTACCACCCTGGGACTTAGCAACAGTCCTTGTATTGGTTCTCCTGGGTCATGTCCAAGAGGGTCACAACATTTTGAACATTTCAGGTACAAATGTCTAGTCTGGTACCAGTCTGTTTAGCTATCATCTAGTCTGGTACCAGTCTGTTTAGCTATCATCTAGTCTGGTACCAGTCTGTCTCAGCTATCATCTAGTCTGGTACCAGTCTGTTTAGCTATCATCTAGTCTGGTACCAGTCTGTTTAGCTATCATCTAGTCTGGTACCAGTCTGTTTAGCTATCATCTAGTCTGGTACCAGTCTGTTTAGCTATCATCTAGTCTGGTACCAGTCTGTTTAGCAATCACTCTTAGTTCCGGTCATTGCACATGTGACACTGTCGACATAGTTGGACCATGTTTAGCATCACGAGGTGGACAAGTAATGATAGCTACAACAGTCTGGTACCAGACTAGATGATAGTACACATACTGGTTACCTGGACTAGATGATAGCTAGACACTGACTGGTACCAGACTAGACCAAGGAGTGGAATTATAGCTAAACAGCTGGTACCAGACTTACAAGGATTGGATGATGCTAGACAGACTGTACCATACTAGATATACCTTAGCAGCTGGTACCAGACTAGTTAGCTAAACAGACTGGTACCAGACTAGATGATAGCTAAACAGACTGGTACCAGACTAGATGTATAGCTAACCAGACTGGGTACCAGACTAGATGATAGCTAAACCGGACTGGTACCAGACTAGATGATAGCTAACAGACTGGTACCAGTACTAGATGATACTAGACAGACTGGTACCAGACTAGACCAAGGATGGACTGATAGCTAACAGACTGGTACCAGACTGAGCCAAGGGTGGATGATAGCTAAACAGCTGGTACCAGACTGACCAAGAGTGGAATTATAGCTAAACAGTCTGGTACCAACTAGATGTTAGCTAACAGTACTGGTACCAGGACTAGTATAGCTCGCATACTGGTACAGACTGGACCAGAGTGCTTAGCTAAACAGACTGGTACCAGCTAGTGATAGCTAGCAGTACTGGTCCAGCGTAACTGATAGCTACACTAGCTGGTACCAGATCATGATATAGCTAAACTAGTCTGGTACCAGACTAGTGTTAGCTAACAGACTGGTACCAGACTAACCTGGTGAGAATTATCAGCCACCAGACTGGTACCAGACTAGATGTAGCTAACAGACTGGTACCAGACGTAGACTATAGCTAAACAGCTTGGTACCAGGTACCAGATGATAGCTAACACAGATCTGGTACCAGTACTAGATGATCAGCTAGACAGACTGGTACCAGCTGATGATACTAAACAGCTGGTACCAGCTAGATTAGCTAAACAGCTGGTACCAGACTGATGTTAGCTATACAGCTGGTACCAACTAGATTGATAGCTAAATCAGCTGGTACCAGTCTAGATGATAGCTAACAGACTGGTACCAGCTAGATTAGCTATCAGTCACTTGGTACCAGACTGGACCAGATGGATGATAGCTAAACGAGCTGGTACCAGCGAGCTAAGACATGTTGATTATATCGGTAACATGTAGTTCATTGTGGTACACGAGAAAGTGTATCTGTGTACATAGGTAGCTTAGTGGTAAGACGTTGTCAGCTAACCGAATGGTCGCTGGTTTACTAATCAGTCGACTGGTAAAATCTGTCGTGTCCTTGAGCAAGACACTTACCCTATCTGTCTCCTTAAGTCGCTCTGGATACAGACGTCTGCTATATGCTACACATGTAAATGTTAATATATTCAGGTCATTGAAGCCTCCACCCTGGTGTGATTTGTTGCTATGATTGTTGGTGTTTGCTACCCCCTAATGGCAAAAGTAATGAAATGCAGATTTATGTCGTTGACATGAAAAGTAGTATCAAACCTCTCTCTCCCCCTTCTCTCTCTCCTCTCTATATCTTCTCTCTCCCCCTCTCCTCTTCCCCCCCTCTCTCCCCTCTCTCTCTCTCCCCCCTCTCTCTCTCCCCTCTCTCTCTCCCTCCTCTCTCTCCTCTCCTCTCTCTCTCAGATGCTGGGGGCGTGTTCGGTGCAGCATGTGCCCTATGTCTTTCCCTCGCTCCTCTCCAGTGATGCCCCTTTCCTCCTCCACCCCCCCCACCTCTCTCACCACCCCCCCCACCTCCCTCCACCTGGACAGTTCCTTCCCTTCCAGACACAACAGGCCAGATCGGTAAGAAACACATTACTCTGATTTTCATTATAATAAGGAATTGTGTTTTTATGACTTTTTCCACAAACGCAGTGTTTCTCAAAGTACCCAAACTAGTTTATTTTTAATATCCTGCCATTAGATGTGCTACCCAGAGTCTTTAACCATTACCATAGGTAGTGTTGCTACCCAGAGCCTTTAACCATTAAGGTAGTGTTGCTACCCAGAGTCTTTAACCATTAAGGTAGTGTTGCTACCCAGAGTCTTTAACCATTAAGGTAGTGTTGCTACCCAGAGTCTTTAACCATTAAGGTAGTGTTGCTACCCAGAGCCTTTAACCATTAAGGTAGTGTTGCTACCCAGAGCCTTTAACCATTAAGGTAGTGTTTCTACCCAGAGCCTTTAACCATTAGGTAGTTTTGCTACCCGAGTCTTAACCATTAGGTAGTGTTGCTACCCAGAGTCTTTACCATGAGGTAGTGTTTGCTACCCAGAGTCTTTAACCATTAAGGTAGTGTTGCTACCAGATCTTTAACCTGGTAGCAACCGATTTTTAGAGGTAGTTCTCTACCCAGATCTTAAATTGTCTGACTGCTACCCTTCTTTCCAATGTGTCACTTCCAGAGTCTTGACTTTACGGGTTTTGAATCCCAATTTAACCTTTTTTCTCCCCTAGAAACCATTAAAAAAGTTTTGAAACCCCAGAGTCTTAATCCTTTAAATTGTTGCTCCCCGATCCTTTAACCTTTTGTTCCCTATCCCGTTTCATAACGGCTTTGTACCCTGCAGAGCCGTTTACACGATAAGGAGTGTGCTATCAGGGCCCTTTGTGGGACGGGGGTTTAGCACCCTACCGGAAGGCCATCACCCTTTGTCCCTGACTTCCTCCACACATTTCTCCAGTTGTCCCAACACGACCCCCACTCATAACATAACCTTTTCCGGGGGCTAAGACCCTAGCCCAACACACGTCCTCCTGCCCCCCTACAGCTCTTCCCAGTTCCTTCCCTTCTACCCGACCCCCTTCAAAGCTTTTGTATGCAAATGACCCCCCATACCCACCCCTTCACCCTGTCAACCTGCAGAGATCCAGGTCCTCTAGGAGACCCCCTGTCCGGAGGGGTTCAGTAACACTCAACAGGACACCACCCTTCCTCCCTGCCCCCCTCCACACCCCTCCAGTTCCTCTCTCACCACGACCCCCTGTCACAGGAGCTGTTCGGAGTGGTAAGACACACACACATACCCCACCCCTCCTCCCTGCCCCCCTCCACACCCCTCCAGTTCCTCTCTCACCACGACCCCCTGTCACAGGAGCTGTTCGGAGTGGTAAGACACACACCACACCATACCCCACCCTTCCCCCCTGTCCCCCTCCACAACCCCTCCATTTCCTGTCTCACCACGACCCCCCTGTCACAGGACTGTTCAGCATTGCAAAGACACACACACATCCGCCCGGCCCCCTCACGGCCCCGTCCACACCTATTTAATTTTTCCCCTCCTCAACCAGCTACTCTTCACTGGGGTTTTCCCGGAATTGGTAAACAAACATTACATACACCACACTTTCCTCACTTCCCACGACAAACACACCTACCCCTAGTTCCACCAACACACTCCCTTACATGAGCTGTTTCACACAACAAACCCATGTCCCTAATCAGAGACCACCGAAGGGCTTCTCCTTAAGGGCCATTTCTTACCTTTTGATTTCTTCAGGTCCCCCACTTCAGTTCCTGCCAATCAGGCAGTCGTACCTTCCCAGGCGTCCCCCGGAAATTAGGCCCAGGTTACTTTTTTTAGACATTACTCATTCCCTTTTTGACACTTGACATAGACAGGAAAAATGTGTTTATTGTAATAGATAGAGTTCCACACAGACAGAGAACAACATGTCCTTATATGGTAATATATGAGATAAAGACATGGAATCACCATGTCTTAATTCAAGATCTCTTCCTCACCACAGCCATGTCCCTTCTCTATGTCGAGCTTCCACCAACAGTCGAACCCCATGTCTTAAATCTATGAAGAGTTTTACGATAAGCTAGCAACCGTCTCCTCTCTATGGTACCCCCAACTTATGCGCGGCAAAAGGAGTTTTAACCCGTTCCCTCATACGGTCTCCCCAACCCTTAGCACCCTTGATCCTCCCTAACTACCATCTATATTTCTCCTCTTTATGGAGGTGGAGGTATTAATGAATAGGGCTAATAAATCATGTTTTTAATATGGGTATTAATACGGATCAAATAGGCTCTGAATCAATTGGTGTTTAATGCAAACGCTACTTCCACTCTATCTGTCTCTCCTCTCTCAGGTGGGAGGTCAGTTTAAAAACACGGCTCCCCATCATATGGCTTAGATCTTTGGATTGGAGGAGTTAAAAACAGGAAACTACTTAGGTTTTAAATTTTAGCAAAACAAAGAACCGCTAACTACACATCTATATGGTCTCCTAAACTCTAATGGAGTGGAGGTAGGGTTAATGAAACACGGCTAACTACACATCTATATGGTCTCCTAAACTCTTAATGGAGTGGAGGTGGTTTTAATGAACACGGCTAACTACACATCTATATGGTCTCCTAAACTCTTAATGGAGTGGAGGTATTTAATGAACACGGCTAACTACACATCTATATGGTCTCCTAAACTCTAATGGAGTGGAGGTAGTTTAATGAACACGGCTAACTACACATCTATAGGTCTCCTAAACTCTAATGGAGTGGAGGTAGTTTAATGTACACGGCTAACTACACATCTATATGGTCTCCTAAACTCTTAAATGGAGTGGAGGTAGTTTAATGAACAACGGCTAACTACCATCTATATGGTCTCCTAAACTCTTAATGGGAGTGGAGGTAGTTTAATGAACACGGCTAACTACACATCTATTGGTCTCCTAAACTCTAATGGAGTGGAGGTAGTTTATGAACACGGCTAACTACACATCTAATGGTCTCCTAAACTCTAATGGAGTGGAGGTGTTTATGAACACGGCTAACTACACTCTATATGGTCTCCTAAACTCTAATGGAGTGGAGGTAGTTTAAATGAACACGGCTAACTACACATCTATATGGTCTCCTAAACTCTTAATGGAGTGGAGGTAGTTTAATGAACACGGCTACTACACATCTATATGGTCTCCTAACTCTAATGGAGTGGAGGTAGTTTAATGAACCCCGGCTACTACACATCTATATGTCTCCTAAACTCTAATGGAGTGGGAGGTAGTTTAATGAACACGGCTAACTACACATCTATATGTCTCCTAAACTCTTAATGGAGTGGAGGTCGTTTAATGAACACGGCTAACTACACATCTATATGGTCTCCTAAAACTCTTATGGAGTGGGAGGTAGTTTAATGAACCCGCTAACTACACATCTATATGGTCTCCTAAACTCTTAATGGAGTGGAGGTAGTTTAAAATGAACACGGCTAACTACACATCTATATGGTCTCCTAACTCTTAATGGAGTGGAGGTAGTTTAATGAACACGGCTAACTACACAATCTATATGGTCTCCTAAACTCTAATGGAGTGGAGGTAGTTGTAATGAACACGGCTAACTACACATCTATATGGTCTCCTAAACTCTAATGGAGTGGAGGTAGTTTTAATGAACACGGCTAACTACACATCTATATGGTCTCCTAAACTCTTAATGGAGTGGAAGGGTAGTTTAATGAACACGGCTAACTACAACATCTATATGGTCTCCTCAACTCTAATGGAGTGGAGGTAGTTTTAAATGAACACAGGCTAACTACACATCTATATGGTCTCCTAAACTCTAATGGAGTGGAGGTAGTTTTAATGAACACGGGCTAACTACCATCTATATGGTCTCCTAAACTCTAATGGAGTGGAGGTAGTTTAATGAACACGGCTAACTACACACTATATGGTCTCCTAAACTCTAATGGAGTGGAGGTAGTTTAATGAACACGGCTAACTACACATCTATATGGTCTCCTAAACTCTTAATGGAGTGGAGGTAGTTTAATGAACACGGCTAACTACACATCTATATGGTCTCCTAAACTCTTAATGGAGTGGAGGTAGGTTAATGAACACGGCTAACTACACATCTATATGGTCTCCTAAACTCTTAATGGAGTGGAGGTAGGGTTTAATGAACACGTGCTAACTACACATCTATATGGTCTCCTAAACTCTAATGGGAGTGGAGGTAGTTTAATGAACCGGCTAACTACACATCTATATGGTCTCCTAAACTCTAATGGAGTGGAGTAGTTTAATGAACACGGCTAACTACACATCTATATGGTCTCCTAAACTCTAATGGAGTGGAGGTAGTTTAATGAACACGGCTAACTACACATCTATATGGGTCTCCTAAACTCTAATGGAGTGGAGGTAGTTTAATGAACACGGCTAACTACACATCTAGATGGTCCTCCTAAACTCTAATGGAGTGGAGGTGGGTTAATGAACACGGCTAACTACACATCTATATGGTCTCCTAAACTCTTAATGGAGTGGAGGTAGGTTAATGAACACGGCTAACTACACATCTATATGGTCTCCTAAACTCTAATGGAGTGGAGGTAGTTTAATGAACACGGCTAACTACAATCCCTATATGGTCTCCTAAACTCTAATGGAGTGGAGGTAGTTTAATGAACACGGCTACTACACATCTATATGGTCTCCTAAACTCTAATGGAGTGGAGGTAGTTTAATGAACACGGCTAACTACACATCTATATGGTCTCCTAAACTCTAATGGAGTGGAGGTAGTTTAATGAACACGGCTAACTACACATCTATATGGTCTCCTAAACTCTTAATGGAGTGGAGGTAGTTTAATGAACACGGCTAACTACACATCTATATGGTCTCCTAAACTCTAATGGAGTGGAGGTAGTTTAATGAACACGGCTAACTACACATCTATATGGTCTCCTAAACTCTAATGGAGTGGAGGTGGGTTAATGAACACGGCTAACTACACATCTATATGGTCTCCTAAACTCTAATGGAGTGGAGGTGGGTTTAATGAACACGGCTAACTACACATCTATATGGTCTCCTAAACTCTAATGGAGTGGAGGTAGTTTAATGAACACGGCTAACTACACATCTATATGGTCTCCTAAACTCTAATGGAGTGGAGGTAGTTTAATGAACACGGCTAACTACACATCTATATGGTCTCCTAAACTCTAATGGAGTGGAGGTAGGTTAATGAACACGGCTAACTACACATCTATATGGTCTCCTAAACTCTTAATGGAGTGGAGGTGGGTTTAATGAACACGGCTAACTACACATCTATATGGTCTCCTAAACTCTAATGGAGTGGAGGTAGTTTAATGAACACGGCTAACTACACATCTATATGGTCTCCTAAACTCTAATGGAGTGGAGGTGGGTTAATGAACACGGCTAACTACACATCTATATGGTCTCCTAAACTCTAATGGAGTGGAGGTGGGTTAATGAACACGGCTAACTACACATCTATATGGTCTCCTAAACTCTAATGGAGTGGAGGTGGGTTAATGAACACGGCTAACTACACATCTATATAGTCTCCTAAACTCTAATGGAGTGAGGTAGTTTAATGAACACGGCTACTACACATCTATATGGTCTCCTAAACTCTAATGGAGTGGAGGGTTGGTTAATGAACACGGCTAACTACAACACTATATAGTCTCCTAAACTCTAATGGAGTGGAGGGTAGTTTACAATGAACACGGCTAAACTACACATCTATATGGTCTCTAAACTCTAATGGAGTGGAGGTAGTTTAATGAACACGGCTAACTACACATCTATATGGTCTCCTAAAACTCTAATGGAGTGGAGGTAGTTTAATGAACACGGCTACTACCCATCTATATGGTCCTCCTAAACTCTAATGGAGTGGAGGTAGTTTAATGAACACGGCTAACTACACACTATATGGTCTCCTAAAACTCTAATGGAGTGGAGGTGGGGTTATGAACACACGCTAACTACACATCGATATGTCTCCTAAACTCTAATGGAGTGGAGGTAGTTTAATGAACACGGCTAACTACACATCTATATGGTCTCCTAAACTCTAATGGAGTGGAGGTGGGTTAATGAACACGGCTAACTACACATCTATATGGTCTCCTAAACTCTAATGGAGTGGAGGTAGTTTAATGAACACGGCTAACTACACATCTATATGGTCTCCTAAACTCTAATGGAGTGGAGGTAGTTTAATGAACACGGCTAACTACACATCTATATGGTCTCCTAAACTCTAATGGAGTGGAGGTAGTTTAATGAACCAACGCTAACTACAACATCTATATGGTCTCCTAAACTCTAATGGAGTGGAGGTGGGTTTAATGAACACGGCTAAACTACACATCTATATGGTCCTCCTAAACTCTAATGGAGTGGAGGTGGGTTTAATGAACACGGCTAACTACACATCTATATGGTCTCCTAAACTCTAATGGAGTGGAGGTGGGTTAATGAACACGCTAACTACACATCTATATGGTCTCCTAAACTCTAATGGAGTGGAGGTAGTTTAATGAACACGGCTAACTACACATCTATATGGTCTCCTAAACTCTAATGGAGTGGAGGTAGTTTAATGATCTACAGTCTAGTGTTTCCTGACACATCTAGCCTCTTGTTAGCTCCAATAGCTAATGCCTAGGCTTCAGCTCAGTGGGCTAAAATGATGAATGCGTGTTGATTGGGTGTGTATCATGTTCTTCATAGTCTACACCAATCCAATGCTGTTATGTCCTCACGGGCGAGTGAATGCAGTGGTCTAAGGCACTGCATCGCAGTGCTAGCTGTGTCACTAGAGATCCTGGTTCGAATCCAGGCTCTGTCGTAGCCGGCCGCGACCGGGAGACCCATGGGGCGGCGCACAATTGGCCCAGCGTCGTCCAGGTAGGGGAGGGAATGGCCGGCAGGGGATGTAGCTCAGTTGGTAGAGCATGGCGTTTGCAACGCCAGGGTTGTGGGTTCGATAAAAATAATGTATGTGCTAACTGTAAGTCGCTCTGGATAAGAGCGTCTGCTAAATGACTAAAATGTAATGTAAATGAATGAACGCAGCTAGGGTAGATGGGAGGACAATAGGAATTTGTCTTGTGTAGGTAGACTGTCTCTTCTCTGACCTCTAACCTTTAACCCCGCCGTCTGACCTCCAGGCCCTGTTGAACCTAGCAGAGCGTCTGGGTGAGGCTAAACCAAGAGGACTGACCAAGGCTGACATAGAACAGCTGCCCTCCTACCGCTTCAACCCCAACAACCACCAGTCAGAACAGACACTGTGAGTAGAGTCCCTTCAACAACCACCAGTCAGAACAGACACTGTGACTAGAGTCCCTTCAACAACCACCAGTCAGAACAGACACTGTGAGTAGAGTCCCTTCAACAACCACCAGTCAGAACAGACACTGACTAGAGTCCCTTCAACAACCACCAGTCAGAACAGACACTGTGACTAGAGTCCCTTCAACAACCACCAGTCAGAACAGACACTGTGAGTAGAGTCCCTTCAACAACCACCAGTCAGAACAGACACTGACTAGAGTCCCTTCAAACATCACAACAAAACCCCCATCCAGTCAGAACAGACACTGACTAGAGTCCCTTCAACAACCACCAGTCAGAACAGACACTGACTAGAGTCCCTTCAACAACCACCAGTCAGAACAGACACTGACTAGAGTCCCTTCAACAACCACCAGTCAGAACAGACACTGACTAGAGTCCCTTCAACAACCACCAGTCAGAACAGACACTGTGAGTAGAGTCCCTTCAACAACAAAACCCCCAGTCAGAACAGACACTGACTAGAGTCCCTTCAACAACCACCAGTCAGAACAGACACTGTGAGTAGAGTCCCTTCAACAACCACCAGTCAGAACAGACACTGACTAGAGTCCCTTCAACAACCACCAGTCAGAACAGACACTGACTAGAGTCCCTTCAACAACCACCAGTCAGAACAGACACTGACTAGAGTCCCTTCAACAACCACCAGTCAGAACAGACACTTTAGTAGAGTCCCTTCAACAACCACCAGTCAGAACAGACACTGACTAGAGTCCCTTCAACAACCACCAGTCAGAACAGACACTGACTAGAGTCCCTTCAACAACCACCAGTCAGAACAGACACTGTGAGTAGAGTCCCTTCAACAACCACCAGTCAGAACAGACCCTGACTAGAGTCCCTTCAACAACCACCAGTCAGAACAGACACTGATAGAGTCCCTTCAAACAACCACCAGTCAGGAAGAACAGACCACTGACTAGGAGTCCTTCAACAACCACCAGTCAGAACAGACACTGACTAGGAGTCCCTTCAACAACCACCAGTCAGAACAGACACTGATAGAGTCCCTTCAACAACCACCAGTCAGAACAGACACTGACTAGAGTCCCTTCAACAACCACCAGTCAGAACAGGACACTGACTAGAGTCCCTTCAACAACCCCAGTCAGAACAGACACTGACTAGAGTCCCTTCAACAACCACCAGTCAGAACAGAACACTGACTTAGATCCCTTCAACAACCACCAGTCAGAACAGACACTGACTAGAGTCCCTTCAACAACCACCAGTCAGAACAGACACTGTGAGTAGAGTCCCTTCAACAACCACCAGTCAGAACAGACACTGACTAGAGTCCCTTCAACAACCACCAGTCAGAACAGACACTGTGAGTAGAGTCCCTTCAACAACCACCAGTCAGAACAGACACTGATAGAGTCCCTTCAACAACCACCAGTCCCGAACAGACACTGACTAGAGTCCCTTCAACACCACCAGTCAGAACAACACTGACTAGAGTCCCTTCAACAACCACCAGTCAAACAGACACTGGCTAGAGTCCCTTCAAAAACCACCAGTCCAGAACAGACACTGACTAGGGGAGTGCTTTGTACCATCAAGCAGACAAATGTGGTGTAATCCCTCTTCGTATCAGATGGGACTGAGTCCTTCATTAACGTAGATTAACACTGATGTATCTCTTCAACCAGGTGTGTGGTGTTAAAAGTGATGACTTTTTAGTCCTCCCCCACCTCGAACAGACCTGCCCGTCCCATGAACACCACACGTCGAACATGACAGGAGTGGCTTCAAAAAGGAGTCAGAACAGATGATGGGTTTAAATAATCAATCACAAGAGGGTTTAGGTTTAACACCCCATGTGAACAGACAAGAAGTAAGTCCCTCAACAACTCCCAGTCAGAACAGAATGACTAGAGGCCTTAACAACCACCATAGGGACAGACACTTGAGTAGACCTAAAAATGTTCAGAAAACCCTTGTAGTCCCTTCAAGACAGTCAGAAACCCGATGGTTTGAAAAATAAGTCATAACAAACTGTTTCCTCAACAACACTTTGTATAATACCGCTAGTTTTCAACAACACCAGTCAAACGTTTTCTGTAAGTCTTCAACAACCCATCACAAAACTGTGAGTAGGAGTCCCTTGAGCATCCACCGTCAGAACAACCCTTGACAAGGAGTCGTTCGACCCACCACCCAGACAAAAAAAAATCCCCAAAAAATAAAACAGAACTGATAAGCCCTTCATCCCTCCATTCCGACTCTACTATCTCTTCCCTCCATTCCCAGCCTCTAGTCCCTTCAACTCTACCAGTCAGACAGACATTACCTCCTCTTCAACCCACTCCAGCGAACAGAACTGTCCTAAATCCCTTCGACGACAACCTCCGAGTCGCACAGGCTGATTCCCTTTAACAACCCAACAGACACTGGAGTAGAGCCCTCCCCACATCAAACAACCTGAGACCTTCAGAGGAAACCCGCAACAGACCGTGATCAGGTCCGGCAACACCACCAGTCCAGAACCCCCCCCCCCCACCCCCCCCAGCCCCCCCCCCCCCCGCACATAGGTCCCCTCACAACTGACTCATTTCAGAAAAACTGATGATCCTTCTCCAAGGAAGTGTACGAATATGGCCCTTCAACAACCACCACAACACACACGTATGAGGGGGTTTCGACCCACCATCAGAACTGCCCGACTATCCCTGCAATCAATTCAGTCGTCCTCTGACCCAGAGAATCTTTACAACCACCCTTTGAAAACCTGCTGGTTTTACAACCACACGAATGTGAGATAGAGTCCCAAACACATTGACTAATATGACATGACGTTGTTGTTCAAACGTGAACAGAACTGCTGGTTTCATACAAACCGTCAGAACGGACCTGAGATGTCTTCCACCAGTAGTAAAGATGCTAGGTTTAAAAGCCCCTTTGTCATTACGAACTGATGTGGTTTTCCCCTTTCCAAACACCCATGAACGACTGGTAGATTTCTGCAGAACCCCGTCAGACTGGCACTGTACATAAATGTGGGGTTGTCGCTTTTGGTCCATTTCAGGACAGGAAGTGTGTTTTCTGCTGGAAGGTGGAGGGGTATTACACGGATGAAAGTGTTGTAACAGATCCAGGTGTTATGTTGTATTCGTTTTCTCTCTCTGTCCTTCTTTTTTTGCTCTCTCAGCTTACAGTCCTCCCTCTCCATGATTTCCCCTGTTCACAATCACTCAATGTTGTTCCAGTGGTTGATGGATCAGGCTCTTTTTTAACTCAGTTGTGATAAACCACAAGACAAACACAGAGAGATACATCACTGAACAAACGCTATAACAGTCAGTGGTGTGTGTGTGGGGGAAAGTTTAGGGCAGACATTGCATTTTTAAAAAGATGATAGTGTTTTAATTGGTCAGTCACTTAGAAATGAAAAAATCCAAATGGGGCCACCCATTCAAAAATAAAAATACCCAAAAAATAAAATAAAGGTATGCAACGCATGACTGTAAGTCGCTTTGGATAAAAGCGTCTGCTAAATGGCATATTATTATTATTATTATTTTGGCCCATTCCTCCATGCAGATCTCCTCTAGAGCAGTGATGTTTTGCGGCTGTCGCTGGGCAACACGGACTTTCAACTCCCTCCAAAGATTTTCTATGGGGTTGAGATCTGGAGACTGGCTAGGCCACTACAGGACCTTGAAATGCTTCTTACGCAGCCACTCCTTCGTTGCCCGGGCGGTGTGTTTGTTGACGTGTACCTATGATGAAAATTACAGGCCTCTCTCATCTTTTTAAGTGGGAGAACTTGCACAATTGGTGGCTGACTAAATACTTTTTCCCCCACTGTATCTATACAAGAGGCTTTATTTAACAGACAGATGGTGATATATCAATACAAGAGGCTTTATTTAACAGTCAGATGGTGATATATCAATACAAGAGGCTTTATTTAACAGTCAGATGGTGATATATCTATACAAGAGGCTTTATTTAACAGTCAGATGGTGATATATCTATACAAGAGGCTTTATTTAACAGTCAGTCAGCAACTAGATTAAAACAGTATTTTGATCAGGTATCAGGTCTTCCATTCTGTGTACAGTTGAATTCAACAAGCTTTGTCATGCACTGCAAAGTGAAGGAACATCCATTTATGACTGGTAGAATCGTCTCTCTCTTATCTCTGGCCCTCCATCTCCTCTCTCTCTCTCTCTCTCTCTTATCTCTGGCCCTCCATCTCCTCTCTCTCTCTCTCTCTCTTATCTCTGGCCCTCCATCTCCTCCTCTCTCTCTCTCTCTTATCTCTGGCCCTCCATCTCCTCCTCTCTCTCTCTCTTATCTCTGGCCCTCCATCTCCTCCTCTCTCTCTCTCATCTCTGGCCCTCCATCTCCTCCTCTCTCTCTCTTATCTCTGGCCCTCCATCTCCTCCTCTCTCTCTCTCTCTCATCTCTGGCCCTCCATCTCCTCCTCTCTCTCTCTCTTATCTCTGGCCCTCCATCTCCTCCTCTCTCTCTCTTATCTCTGGCCCTCCATCTCCTCCTCTCTCTCTCTCTCTTATCTCTGGCCCTCCATCTCCTCCTCTCTCTCTCTCATCTCTGGCCCTCCATCTCCTCCTCTCTCTCTCTCTTATCTCTGGCCCTCCATCTCCTCTCTCTCTCTCTCTTATCTCTGGCCCTCCATCTCCTCCTCTCTCTCTCTCCAGGCTAACAGAACGTGTCCTATCTGTCGAGCGGACGCCTCCGAGGTCCAGCGGGATTCTGAATGACCCAACAGATCTAGGATCAGCTCAGCCCTCCCCACATCCTAACCTGACGCTTTAGGGAGGGAAACACAACAGACCTTAGATCAGTGTCTGGGGGCAACGCCCCCCCCCCCCCCCCCTCGCCAAGTGACTCTTTTAAGAAATAGACTATGCCTTCTTCCTATGGTGATATTGTTCTAATAATGGCCTTTGACACACACACACACACACACACACACACACACACACACGTACGAGGGGAAGTTGGACTTTTTCCTTTGTACTGTCTTACCTTCCTGCATTGTGATTGGAGTCGTCTTCTTCTGAACGCTGAGAGAATCTCGGCGATTTAAAAAGTTCCTGCGTTGTTTTACTAACTAACCGAATGGAGAATATGGAAGTCCAAAGATTGACTATTATGACATCGTTGTTGTTATTGTTAATATTGATATTCTGTTTATGATTAATCGTTCAGAACCTGGATTGAGATGCGTGTTCACTAGTAGGGTATTTTGGTTTATAAAGCTCTTTTTGTTCATTTACCGTTAGTGTGTGTGTGGTTGCGTGCGCAGAACACCAATGGTTACGTCTGTATTATTTCTGCAGGACAGTACACTGGCCTCCTGCTCATGCTGCGGTCGCCGCTCTGATTGGTCAATGCTGTGCACTGAGACAGGAAGTGTTTCATGAGGAAGGGGAGGGGCTTACAGGGAGGAGAAGTGGAACAGAACCAGAGTAGTTAACTCTATCTCTCTCTCTCCTTCTTTTTCCTCTCCCAGTCCATCCTCCTCTCTCTCCTTTTCTGTTCACTCACTCAATGGTTCAGTGTGATGGATCAGCCTCTATTATATACTCAGTTTGCCCTCACACACACACACACACACACACTGAACACACACCCCCACCCAGCAAGGGTGTGTGTGTGTGTGTGTGTGTGTGTGTGTGTGTGTGTGTGCAAGCTGGTATGAATTGATGTTAAACAGCCAACATTGTTTTATTGGTCAGTTACTTAGAAAGTGATCAAATCTCAAATGAAACCCTATTCTAAAATATATTGCTTACAGGCCAGAAGGAATGAACTATCTAGGGAATATGGTTACATTTGAGGTGCAGCCATCATTGTTCACTGGTCGTTAAAATCATATTGAGATGGTGACATTATTTGAAGTATAGTTTAAGGCACATAATGATGATGATGATTTTAGCATTTAGCATTGTAGCATCACAGTTAAGTTTTAACCCCTTGGTAAAATGTTTTGCCTGTCGACCACAAGAGTGAGAATACCAGTCCCTGGTTTTCAGTCTGTCTTCATTCACAACCACAATGACTCTTCCATTCAGTCAGTCTTCATTCACAACCACAATGACTCTTCCATTCAGTCAGTCTTCATTCACAACCACAATGACTCTTCCATTCAGTCTGTCTTCATTCACAACCACAATGACTCTTCCATTCAGTCAGTCTTCATTCACAACCACAATGACTCTTCCATTCAGTCAGTCTTCATTCACAACCACAATGACTCTTCCATTCAGTCAGTCTTCATTCACAACCACAATGACTCTTCCATTCAGTCAGTCTTCATTCACAACCACAATGACTCTTCCATTCAGTCAGTCTTCATTCACAACCACAATGACTCTTCCATTCAGTCAGTCTTCATTCACAACCACAATGACTCTTCCATTCAGTCAGTCTTCATTCACAACCACAATGACTCTTCCATTCAGTCAGTCTTCATTCACAACCACAATGACTCTTCCATTCAGTCTGTCTTCATTCACAACCACAATGACTCTTCCATTCAGTCAGTCTTCATTCACAACCACAATGACTCTTCCATTCAGTCAGTCTTCATTCACAACCACAATGACTCTTCCATTCAGTCTGTCTTCATTCACAACCACAAGGACTCTTCCATTCAGTCTGTCTTCATTCATCTCCTCCTCTAGGATGCCTCTCACCCCCCCCCTTTCTCTCTCTCCCTTCTTCGATCCCCCTGTTTTCCGGTGTGTTCTCTGTCTACCCAGTGTCTTTAGAAGTAGTCCTTAACGGCTGTCATAAACCCTACATAAGGCTGTCTTAACATGCACAATGTCACCCTATGTCAAGTTCTTCATGGCCTCCTACGGTCCTTCACCCACTATGTATCACGATATGTGCTCTATGTCAGGCTCACAGCAACCTTAAGTAGGCCTTACGACAGTCTTATGTAGGCCTTACGACAGTCTTATGTAGGCCTTACGACAGCTAGCAGAAGGGAAAAGTGTATTAAACAATGTCAGCCAGGCACCTGCAGTGTCTTAATAAATAAGAGATGCCTTTAAATCCCAGATTTACCCTCCTTAAAGCCATGAAACCAACAGGTGGGTTAATGATCTTAGATCAGTGTTTAGCTGGGACAAGGTCTTCACCCTACATGTTTAAAAGAAACCATTCTCTCCAGTGTCCAATGTAGTTTGTCAGCTCAGCGTTAAAAGGCGTAAAGTCATTGGTCGTAGCCATGGCAACGGGGGTCAAAAGCTTCCGTTTTCCTGTTTTTTTTGTTTCCTGGGTTAAAGGTGTTATACTGTCGTCATGGCGTCCATTTTGTGTCATAGGATTCTAATTATTGTTCTATTGTTATTTCTCCTGCTTGGTACACTACTAGCAGTTACCTCATTGTCTCTATTTATGTATATTCAGATACCAATATAGGACATGCTGATTTTTGGTTTTCAAATTGTTTATTTTTTCATCATACTATTTGTCGTTGGGTTGTTTTTTAAAAGTGTTTTATCATTTGTTAATCACATGACGTTGGTAGATTTCTTCTCATAATGTATTATATCTGTAACCAAAATCATTTGAAGGCTTGATATTACTAAATTTTTAACAAACATTTGTACATTTTTTTAATGAGAGTTATTACTAGGAAGGCGTTACTAAGTGGTGAAATGAATTGTTATTTTTAATCCCTGTCCCCCCCCCTGTCTTTTGGATTTCAAAAGGTGGTTCTATAATAAATGTAGAACTTCCAACTCTACTCTCCTTTTCTCTCACATGCTGTCGTTCTGTTGAAACTCCTGTCCTCCTAAAGATGGGTGGGTTTTCATTCATTTAACTGTGAAATGTCATTTTTTGTAAATGTTCTACTCCTATATTAAGCATAGAGGGGACTAATTATTCTCTGTTCTACTCCTATATAAAGCATAGAGGGGAATAGTTATTCTCTGTTCTACTCCTATATAAAGCAGGGAGGGGAATAGTTATTCTCTGTTCTACTCCTATATAAAGCAGGGAGGGGAATAGTTATTCTCTGTTCTACTCCTATATAAAGCATAGAGGGGAATAGTTATTCTCTGTTCTACTCCTATATAAAGCATAGAGGGGAATAGTTATTCTCTGTTCTACTCCTATATAAAGCATAGAGGGGAATAGTTATTATCTGTTCTACTCCTATATAAAGCAGAGAGGGGAATAGTTATTCTCTGTTCTACTCCTATATAAAGCACAGATGTGGCTAGTTATTCTCTGTTCTACTCCTATATAAAGCATAGAGGGGAATAGTTATTCTCTGTTCTACTCCTATATAAAGCATAGAGGGGAATAGTTATTCTCTGTTCTACTCCTATATAAAGCAGGGAGGGGAATAGTTATTCTCTCTGTTCTACTACAAAAATATAAATGCAACATGCAACAATTTCAATTTTTTTACTGAGTTACAGTTCATATAAGGAAATCAGTCAATTGAAACAAATTCAATAGGCCCTAATCTATGGATTTCACATGACTGGGCAGGGGCGCAGCCATGGGTGGGCCTGGGAGGGCATAGGCCCACCCACTTGGAGCCAGGCCCACCCACTCTGAATGAGTTTTTCCCCACAAAAGGGCTTTATTATAGACAGAAATACTCCTCAGTTTCATCAGCTGTCCGGGTGGCTGGTCTCAGAAAATCCTGCAAGTGAAGAAGCCAGATGTGGAGGTCCTGGGCTGGCGTGGTTACACGTGGTCTGCGGTTGTGAGGCCGGTTGGACGTACTGCCAAATTATCTAAAACGACGTTGGAGGCGGCTTATGGTAGCGAAATTAACATTCAATTCTCTGGCAACTGCTCTGGTGGACATTCCTGCAGTCAGCACGCCAATTGCACGCCCCCCTTTAAAACTTGAGATATCTGTGGCATTGTGTTGTGTGACAAAACTGCACATTTTAGAGTGGCCTTTTATTGTCCCCAGCACAAGGTGCACCTGTGTAATGATCATGCTGCTTAATCAGCTTATTGATATGCCACACTTGTCAGATGAATGGATGATCTTGGCAAAGGAGAAATGCTCATGAACAAAATTTGTGCACAACATTTTAGAGAAATAAGCTTTTTGTGAGTATGGAAAATATCTGGGATCTTTTAATTTCAGCTCATGAAACATGGGACCAACACTTTACATGTTGCGTTTATATTTTTGTTCAGTATAGTTCCTACACATCACCTTCTATATTCAAACAAAATAGGCCTTTTACAGGCAAATGGGCAGCGTCATGCTCATGTCAGTCCTCTAGAACGCAAATGTAGTCTTCCTAGTAGGAATGCAATAATGAGGTGGTGTGGACAGTGCCTTGCAAAAGTATTCACCCCCTTGGTGTTTTTCCTTTTTTGTTGCATTACAACCTGTAATTTAAATGGATTTTTATTTGGATTTCATGTAATGGACATATACAAAATAGTCCATATTGGTGAAGTGAAATGAAAAAAATTACTTGTTTCAAAAAAATTCGAAAAAAATAAAACACGGAAAAGTGATGCGTGCATATATATTCACCCCCTTTGCTATGAAGACCCTAAATAAGATCTGGTGCAACCAATTACCTTCAGAAGTCACGTAATTAGTTAAATAAAGTCCACCTGTGTGCAATCTAAGTGTCACATGATCTGTCACATGATCTCAGTGTATATATACACCTGTTCTGAAAGGCCCCAGAGTCTGCAACACCACTAAGCAAGGGGCACCACCAAGCAAGCTGCACCATGAAGACCAAGGAGCTCTCCAAACAGGTCAGGGACAAAGTTGTGGAGAAGTACAGATCAGGGTTGGGTTATAA